TTGTAATCTGTGCTATCATCTCCGTAGCTTTCGCGTTTTTTTTTCAAATTTCAAATCGGGCTTATTTCAAGTAACAAATCCGTGGGTTGTCGACAACACCGTCACTACCACATATTACGAAGAAGTAAGTGAAAAACACTTACACACGGATTGTTACTAACACGCACAAACGAGTAAAACCAGCACTTAAGATGGGACAAAGTGACCTAAAGTCAGTCTGCAATCAGCAGTTGGTTGTGGACAACACCGTCACTACCACATATTACTAAAAAGTAAGTGAAAAACACTTACACACGGATTGTTACTAACACGCACAAACGAGTAAAACCAGCAATTAAGATGGGACAAAGTGACGTAAAGTCAGTCTGCAATCAGCAGTTGGCTGAAAGGTTTGGTGCGGATGGAGGCCCATGTCTTGGGTATGAAATCAAACTAATTCTTACTCGATAAAATATCATATATTCCTTTTTTGAAATGCCAAATTGTCCAACTATAATCAAATTGCCTCTCAACTTGAAATAATATTAATTTTGATACATTTATTTGTACGTGCACATACTCAGTCCGGCCTAGACTCGCAGATTCGCTTTGTCACACTGCAAACGCACCTAACACACAACATTTCGTGACAGTCGTTTGGTTGGGTTCGTGTTCATCCTGCTCAACACCTTCGTTGGCATCGCAAACAGCATCTACAGATTTGTATGACACTAAGTCCTCTGGCATTAATTGCTGATAGTTTTGAATTTACACACACTTTGTTGCCAAAATCAAACTTTTTATATTTGTGTGTACATCGGGAGATATGTATATAGTCGATGAGAGTATTTTGTGAGTTGATGATAGTAAAAATCTGTCGGCACAAATTATTTTCATTCACAGCTACTTTTCCATAACCATTATCTAACAATTGTTTGGAAAAATTTGCGGCAGGTGGATCTTGAAGCATATGAGCGCGCATGTTCACTGTCAGTTGTACTTTTTAAACATTACGCCACAGTAGCGATGGTTTAAGCAAGCGTTGATGTCATTCATGTACGTTGTACCTGAAATAACGGGAGGTGTCAGTCTGAGTTTAGGAGTAACAGAGTGCCGCCAAATATTTTGTCGTTGTTTTTTTATATCTTTCAATATCTTTCCTAAGCCCCAAGCGAATGTTTATGTGCCATAGTGCACTCTCCCAAATGATAATTTTACACAGTTTCAGCACTGTGGCTATGGACAATTGTATTTTTATGTTGCAGACAGACTGAGTTACCATATATTGAATTTTTAATGGAAGCATAGATGCTAAATGAGCTGTTCTGTATCAATCCAATAAAGTAGCTGCAATGCCAGATAATCAACGACAATGCGATGCCATTATTTAATTGTATTTCAGCAAGAAGTAGCAAAATAAGTTCCTCCTGGCTCATCAAAAACAGGAGCCCCCTTGCCATATGTTGCATTTTGGTTCATAAGTTAGTAGTAGAACATTGCGAGAAACACTCGAGGCCAATGCGATAGTATCATATTGCAGTTCGCGA